ATCAGAAAAATCTACTTGAGTACAGTAAAGAAGTATTTGTACTTCGTTACTTCCCATCTCTGCCTAGCAGTCATGTTTATAGACTGTGGGAGAAAGCCGGAGTACCCGGAGAGAGATGAGACAGATGTTCTTGCATATTGTGAACTAATTCAGTAAGATATAAAAGCTTCTCACATGTAGGATGTAAGCTTTTATACATTTTGGGATGAAAATTACAGAATTTACAACAAATTGCTGCATAAAGATGTACGGTATAATATATATATTTATTTATTTATTTTTTGATTCAGCCTGAACTTTTTGCATTGATTTTAATTCAATCTGGTAGACCAGGGGTTCCTGGTCGTCAACATTTAAACCTGAATATTAAAGGAAGTAAAAGTAAGATGTAGGCTTTTCTTAAGATAAAATCTATGTGTGCACAATTATTGGGCAACTATTGCTGTGCAGAATTATTATGCAACTACATAAAAAAAATATATATTTTTTTCTATCCCACATTTTTATTTGAATCCATTAAAATGAGAATAATAAACATCTCATGATGTACAAATAAAGTCAGTGGCCAATATATTCAATAACAGTAAGCAGCCTTCCATTCATACTGTCTGTCAGCTTCTTGATCTGTTAATGATGTTAATCTCTTGTTTAGGAAGGGCTCACAAGTTCTCAAAAGGGTTCAGTTCAGGTGAAGAGGGGAATCACATCATTAGTCTTTCCTCTTCAGTCCTTTACTGATGGAAGCCGTGGATTATTGTCCTGCATAAAAACCAATGTCTTCTAAAAACCGCCTATCATCTTGGGTGTTGAGTCCATCTTTAACCTGTAAAGGTCCAACCAGTTCATCTTTAATATTACGGCCCTTACCAGGACCCCACCTCCTCCTTGCTCACCTCCTATGTGATGTGGAACTTAGCTTCGCATTTGATTCTTCTAAAAGCTTTGGCAATTAATTTGCTTTTTTTTTTTTTTTTTTTTTTATCACAAACGATAAACATTTGATGGATCTGTGATCACACCCCAATCAATAGTTTGGCAGTTTCAGCAGTGCTGCATCAATTTGTAAGTCTTTTACAATGTTGGACTTGTCAGTCACTTAAATCTCTTTTCTGGCCCATTTTGCCTGAGAAAAAGAAACTACTTTACTCTTGATTTAGGTTGTTGATCTCATTCAGCCTTACACAACTATACAGCTGATTGGCTTATAACAAATGAGCATTCAAGTTTATACAGCTTGAAGAAGGAAAAAAGGCATAGAAATTATGATACACTTGCCTATTATTTGTGCACACAGGTATGCGGTGAAAAGAACACACCTAAAGGACAAAGGTACTCTAGGACTAAGATTGACAACCACTGATCTAAAGAACACCAATAAGGCCACAGTTTGAAGGAAAAATAATTTCTGGGGTATCAAATATAGACAACAATTGGATTGAGCTGCTTTGAAATGAACTAAAACAAGCTGTTGATGCTCCAAAACCCCCCAAAGGTGTTCAGTTTAAACAATTCCTCCGGGGTTAGGTCCAGCTGTTTTCAGGTGGGAAGGGGAAACGGGCAGGGCTGCCTCTTTTTGCCGCTTTTATTCAGTCTTGCAATCAAACCACTGGATGAAACAATTTGTAGTGACCCCACTGTATTTGGTGTCAACACTGATTGGGGAACCCATATAATTTCTTTATATGTCGACGATGTTCTGTTGTTTCTCTCTAGGGCTACCACTTCAGTTGAAAGAGTCGTTGCAATTATTAATCCGTTTGGCTCATTTTCCCCTTGGGAAGACAATGTTACCGTATATACCTAAACCCCCCTTAAAGTGGTTCCGTGCAGGATTTAAATATCGGCATATTTGTCACACCTGTCTTCAATCAGATGTTCAAAACAAACTTTGTCCCATTATTTGAAAAAAATAAAGCCAGACTTTGAACGCTGGAATTGTCTTCCTATATCTTGGCTGGGCAGAATTTCACTTCTTAACCCTTTAAAGGGCAAGTGACCATTGATCACCTGCATACCCCTTAGAAATGGAGCTCCCCTCTGTCCCTCAGTGAGGTCTAGAAGCACAAGATCTATATCCACCCATTCAGCAAAGGTACTGCTACATGGCTTTACATTTTATTTTGGCATTTGACCAATTAGATGAGCCCTTGAATTATATATTACCTACTGCAAATTAAGTTGGAAAAAGAATAACAAGTCAAGAAAAAAAGGTAAAAAGCTAATTGAAAAGTTAGAAAGTAAAGCTAAAGGGTTAATAAACCTCTAAGGTTATGTTATACCTAAAAAAATGTGTTTCTTTCACTCTCAGAGTGTTTTTCATGAATTTCTTGTAGAAGCACTTTTTTTATTTTTCTTAATATAGTTGGGCAAGTTGGTGTTTCTTGTTATTACATTGACATTAATTTTTGCCATCAAAATATTCATATTTTTTAAATGTTACAAAGTTAATAAGGTCTTGTCTTGGATTCCAATAACATATAAGGTCTTGTCCTGGATTCCAATAACACACTACAAAAATTATCTAAAAATGAGTGAAAATGTCTTAAAATACGTGTGTTTACCCTTAATTTGAGTACGTAAATAGGAAAATCTCCCAATGGAAGGAACATTTTTATCCTTAAAATCTGATTATTTGATATTATGCAATTGAAATAGGAAACTGTACATTTTCCCTTACATGTAAATGGTCTTATTCCATTTGCAAAGTGTCTCACTTACCTGCTCAATTCAAGAAAAAATGCACTTATTTTAAGAGAAAATTACTTAATTTAGATATTTAAAGTCTTTCACTGAGTGCCCTATAAAGGGTTAAGATGAACATTCTCCCTCGCTTGTTGTACCCAATTAGAATGATTCCTATTTTGTTTACTCAGAGCCGGATCCACATATTAAAAGTTGGTTTGGTTCCTTTACCTTGGCCAAAAGAAGGGCATTCATAAACATGTCAACATTACAGTTGTAAATTGTAATCAACTACAATTTAAGTTGATTGACAAAAGTACAAGTTTACATGTAAATATGCCAGATTATAAACCCTCATGTCTATCTGCTGTCCCCTTTCAGGGTTTATTAACTCAGGTTTTCTTATGTTAAAATACTTTGATGTTAAAGTTTTGGTCATCTTAAAACACTTTGTAAAGAAAACAAATGAAGAATAAATCTATGAGAAAAAAAGTTTTTATAGCACCATTAGCTTTTTTCCACCACATCATTATGTAAGACAGTCAGATCACTTAAAGATTTCATACACAGGGACATTTTCGTACCATTTTAAGATTTTACTAATCTTTGCTTTGTAATTCCGTCAGATTACTAATTCATCTTTTATTTCAGCTTACATTTTGTACAAAGGAATTGCGATAAAGAAATTCAGATAGACTTCGACTTTATTAATCCCTCTGGATGTCTTGTTCAAGCTCCAGCAAAACTCATGACGATGACTGGAACTTCAGCCTTGAGAGTTTCTAACAAAGACTCTAAGGCAGAGAGTAAATCAACAGTGAACAAAAACAAACGTGTCTGATTGAATCTTAAAGGTTGACCGTCTCACCTTCCTCTGGATATTATGTAAACAGATTTGCCATGCCCCCCCACCATCCTTTCTTCTACATCTGGTTTCCAGGAGCAGCTAAGGTGGACCTGATGGACACTAGATCTCAGGAATTATGGCTGGGAGGGGGCTCTGGGCTGGGCTCATGGATTTATTCTCAAACGTACCAACAATATGTAAGAAACATGTACCCTGAAACCTTTATCATCAAAGATGAAGACCAAATGCATCTTGGATGGCTGTTCTGGAACCTTTTTCGTTGTGCTTGACAATGACAGTAAAGGCAATTTAATATAGAGATAAATAGTATTGACTGCTCTGACTCAGGTCATCATGGATACAGAGGCATAAATAAAGAGGCATTAATGACCTGTAAACGGAAGATCGCTTTGGCATCAACGACAGATGAGGAATGGACGCCATAGTCTTTGGCATTTCTGAAGCAAAACGAATGCAGTAAGGAAAATATAAAAACATCCACTAACATTTGGTAGATTTCTTAGTAAGGTTAGCAGCTTCGGGAGGCAGAACAGAATAATCTCTGTTCACATGGTTTCCTTTTCCCTCTGACAATTGATCCATTCATTAAAAGTCTCAGCAGCTATGTT